TATATATATATATATATATATATATATATATATATCACCGACGTCGTGGAGAGCTCATATATACTAGGCGTATCCTACGAGGAGAACGGGGAAACGAGCTGAGGTAGTTTTCTCAGCTAAGACTTGGCAGTTGGACTCGAGATCACAGCTGGAAGCTATTTAAACCGAGGAGGTTCAAAGTCAGCTCAGATGTTGGTCTCGCTACTCGAGTAATTAGTGACCGGAACCGAAGCGAGTTTCAAACGTTTGCTACACATGTTGCTACTGAGTACTCCAGGATCCTTGCTTCAACCTGGCGAAGCATTGTATTCCAGCAGCCTTATGCTGTACTTCTGGGGAGCATTGGGCCCCTGTTTGACAAAGGAACAAACGAAAGGCGTATGAACTGAGCAATCAGTCACCGGCTCCCAATGGGCGCGATTCCCTGAATTCGCTCCGCTGCCTTGCGGGCAGGCTATTCAGCCAAAGGCTCGGGGTGGTGTCCCCTAAGTCAACACCCTACTTCGGCTTGGGCAACCGGGTAGTATCTCGCCCTCTGAGGAAACCATGGACACTGTTGTGTTGTGTTTTATTGTACTGTTTCTGTACTTTCGTTTGAATCCCATGGTTTCTGATGGCATTATGTCTGTTAGCAGACTTTTGCAATATATATATATATATATATATATATATATATATATATACTCCAGGATCCTACAGGACTAATATTACAAGTTCAAGTTCGGATGGGACTGGTACGATAGGAGAAATCCGTGAGTGTTCCATCTTGAGTAAATCGTTAAGCCAGGAATTGATGAAGTGCTCAGAGTTATTGATGGATCTAAAACGGAACACCCATATCGCACCCTGGCCAACCAGTTAATGCTCACGTTTCCTGCCCTAGCAGTCCCTGCTGTGGCAGTCACGTGAAGTAAGCAAAAGATAGGAAGAGAAATCGAAGTTACAGAATAAGGAAGTGCATTTGGAATAAGAAAATGATACCTATACATATATAGGCATATAGACTACAGCGACTTCATCTCTTAATTCGGATAAAAAGTATTCCACTTTATTTGATTTGCTCAGTTTGTTATCCTGGTGCATATTCCGTACCAATTTTGCATGTTTATTTTCCCTCGAAGTATATGTTAGGGGTTTATACCCCCGATGCACCTTGATGTGAATGTTGTCAAGGTGTCTACCGGTTTAACATGCTCCACTGTGAGTACAAGCTCCAGGAGACTGGATGGTTGCTGGGGGACGGGGTGCACAGTCATCGTGGCCGTATGGTTCCATGCATCCAGTGTATAGCCGACTTCAGTCCAACCATTGCCTTGTGTACGTCTAGTACGCATGATTCCCAAATTAGATCGGCTGTAATGCCGCTGCTGTGCATGTTGAAGGAGCGTGGGCCAGCTCCGTTAATGTAATGTCGTTCCCATTCAACTGCCTCCCGGACTTATTCCTTCGGATTTACACTGGATGAAGGGGTGCGTGGGTGGTGCAGCGCAAGTCGCCCATGATCGCTGCTGGGCGCAGGCGTTCTGTGCCTGTCCTACGGAGGCCGTAGGAGTAGGCAAATATGGGATCGGATGTGCCTAACCATATATGGTATACAAGCCTATGGTTCTGTCCGTTCATCTATACGGCAGCGAACCGTGGACGTTATACAGGAAGTAGGTCAGTAATTTGTAGTGGCTTCAACAACAGTGTATGCGATGGATTCTGCGCATCGATTGGTGCGACGATGTTGTGGACCCGGAAGTGCTGCGCCGCAGTGGTATATAGGGAGGGGACGACGTGCCTTTGCTGCGGCACCTGACGTGGCAGAGGAATATCGGTTGCATGAATTCAAATACTGGACGGCATAGCTAAGGGAAGCGGCATATGGGAAAACTAAAGGTACGTTACCATGACACAATCAAGATGAGTACATCACGAACTAAGGTTGAGTTCAGACGTTGGGAATCAAAGACAGTTGATCAATGCGAATGGCGTGGACTGATCAAGTGAGAGGTTGCTCAGATACAGGAGAAAGCATTTTTAAATGCGGAGAAGAAACGCCAAGTACGGAAACGACAGGCGCCGATGTAGTCTACCCCATCGACGTCTAGCGCATGGTGATGTAGCACACACGGTCGCGAGTGCCTGAGCCAAGCGGGACTGGAATCCACCAGCGTGGCCAGTCTGAAAAAGACGAGGAGCCAGCTGATTATCTAAGCATAATCAGTGCAGCGATTGGTGTGTACGCTACGTCCGCTTCCATTCGATTTACTAACCCAGGCCATTAATGCGGTTGATGGGGTACATCGTTGCATTTATTCTGTACGTGTGCCTGCGTGTTAAGTCGCTTGCGGTTCAAGTGTTGGCTGTTGATTGGTATCCGCGGTGTGGCTGCGCTTGATGTGAATGTTGACAATGTGCTCAATTGTCGGAAAACCGCTACATCGCTTATACTGCTTGCAGGAGACAACTGATCGTTAATTGGTCACGGTCTCCGTGACCGTGCTAGGCTCAAAGTGCGGTTCCAAGCATTAAGTCTAGAGCGAGCTGCGACTATGCAACCGCCTTGTGTACGTCTGGTATGCATGATTCCCACGACGTGCATTGTTTGTGCGCCGGGGGTGCGGTTGGAGGAAGAGGAGGGGAGGCCAAGCGATGAGTTTGTCAAGAGAGATAAAAACCCTCACTTCGAAGTTGACCTCGGTTGGTGCATCCCGACTGCCTGGCTGAGGTCCTAAGGACGATAAACACGTTTGGCTGGATACATTTGCTGATATGGCTAAGAGCCAGTGCCAATAGCGTTTGTGTTGTGAGTTCCTTTGTCCAAAGCCCTCCTGCTTAGCATCCCCTTCCAAGCACGATCTCAATCGTTAGGCGTAATATAAATTTTTGCGGCACGATAGCGCGCTGTTAGCTCCCCGGAACGATGTCCATCGGTTACTGGGGACTCAGCCGACGTACCACAGTTTGTTGCTTCTTATCCTTTGTATTGCGGCACAATAGCTATGGTGTTTTCAACCTACAGCTAACTTGTATGATGACGATGATGGTGAGGATAATGTTGTGATAGACAGGGGTGCTGCTGTTGTGCATGATGTGGAAGTGTAGGCCGGCCCCGTTGATGAAACGTAGTTACCATCCACATGCCTCCCGGTCCAATTCATTGGGGTTTTAACAGGATATGGGTGTGTAGATGGATCAATGAGCGCAGCGCAAGCCACCTATGCTCCTTGAGTAGGTGCAAGCGGAGGCTGCCGTGACGAGCAAATCCGGAATCGGATGCCACCAACCACATATATGGGTTGGAAGCATTCAGGTCCAGATTTGGCTGTGACTGTGGCCTCCACGGGGACAGCCACAAGAGGCTTGCGCCTACAGAGGGACCACGGGTGGCTAACGTTGCACCACCCACACAACTTGTATCCAGTGTAAACCCGAAGGAATAAAACCGGGAGCCATGTTTCAACAACGGAGCCAGCGTACAGTCCTTTAAGAAACAGAGCAGAAAAAGTTACGCCTAACTGGAAAGCCATGCATACGAGGTGTACACAAGGCGGTGGGTAGACCGAATTTCGCTCCACAATGAATGCATGAAACCACACTTTGAGCCTAGCACGTCCACAAGGACCGTGCACCACATTCCCCTAACAACGATCCAAAGTCTCTTGGAGCCAGTAATGGAGGTGGAGAGTGTTAAACAGGTAGGTACCTTGTCAACATTCACATCAAGCGCAGCTACAAGGGGGATATCAAACAGCCAACACATAAATTGAAGGAAAATAATCGCGCAACATTGACCCGGAATATGCAGTAGAATAACAGAACTGAGCAAATCAAATAAAGTAGAATATTTTCTATCTAAATTCGGAATATCTAGTTTAAGTGTAAGTCGGTGTTGCCCAACTGTGATGAAGCATGATGTATGCAGCATAAACCTCCGCATGAGGCAGTGTAGGGATACGACATAGGAATATTGACAAAATGAGCAGTATGAGAAAAATAACTTTGAAAAGGTTACGATGTGAGGTAAAACAGAAGTAAAAGCACAGTAGAACAGTGATGACTTATTGTTAGTGTGTGTTATGGATGCCGTGCCGTAAAGTAAGTCAGAGTCGGTCCGATCGTCGCTTGTCCGAGGTAAGCGAGAAGTAAAATGTTTGTGGAACTACTACCGGCCGTGTGCTGTTCTGCATAGTGTGTTACTATGTATTGTTCACTTGGTCGCCCGTTCTGGGCGCTAGCAATTCACCAATTCACCAGTGCCGAGAATGTTACTTGTGCCCCAGCATTTCGCTTTGAATGCCACAGCGTGTCGCCGCTGTCCGTGAATCAAGGTCGATGACTTGCCTGAATCTCAGTGTGTGCGCGTGAATGCGACAGAAGTACAAGGGGATGTACAAAGGTGTTTGACAACGCTAAGCTGGCATCATTGCAACCCGAAAGAAATCACGGTGTCACCTGAAATAGCATGTTATATGATGCATCTGTCTGACGGCATATATATATATATATATATATATATATATATATATATATATATATATATATATATATATATATGTAGAGAGAGAGAGAAAAAGATAAATGTTCACGGTAGAAACCAGTTTTATTTCCCGGATATGAAGCGTGAAGTTGAAATTACTTGCTGGGAATATGAGTGCAGTAGTAATATTTCACGAAACAAATTGCTGTGGATACGAAGACTACCTGAGAAGCAAAACCGAAGTATACGGCCGAAAACGAAACCTGCGCCAATGGGAAGCACTTAAAGTACGGGGTACGAGTGAAGGGTGAATAGTGGTAAACGATCACAGCTAGATATATAAAATGACAACAGTAAAAACTCACGATTCGTATGTCATCGTCATCATAAACGTTTATCGTCCTTCCATCAAGTGTCATAATCTCTGAATAGCGACTCATACGAGCAAGGTAGCTTTTTTCTAGAGTGCTTGTGAGAGTATCCAAGAATTCATCCGTTAGATTTAGTGAATTCATCTCCCATGGCTAAATACCACTCAGTCGAATTTAGTCAGACTCACTAAGTTGCGCTTCCGTATCCGTTCTCTTATTTGATCATTAGTCGATTTGACGTAGATGATTAAATGCGGTTTCCAAAGAAATTTGCTAGTGATGCCATGAGTTTGATTGAACCAACGATGAGCTGTGGTAAGTACAATGTGGCAGAAAGCGATAAAGGTACCTAGATCAGAAAAGTGACCAGCTTGGGTAAAGGCATCAGAAAAGGCGATATCAGAAAACGGACTCCTGTCAGTGACGAATCCCCTCCCTTTGGTACTGAGTGAAAGAAAAGTGGGCACTACCAGTGTTGAATAAAGTGCATAGACCCTTCAGATAATTCCAGTACCGTCTAACGTAGAATTGAAACTGTAGATACAAGGGCTTTCCCATATTTATGAGATCTGGCTCGTTCCAAAACATCTCACATGTGTAGTATTTGGCTGAGAGAGGTAGCAGTGAATTGTGGCAGCGCAAATCAAATGGTGGGTTAATCTGTCGGAAAATGTATATATCATCTTCCGTTGGGTCAGGGAAGTAGTTAAGGCCAAAGTGCTCAGCCAATTTGGAAGCCAAATATGACTTTCCTGAGCCAATGTTCCCCTCAACGACAATAATCTTGCTGTTATCATTGAACCTGGGAGGAGTAGAGTCGATAAACGATCGTGACAAAGAGAAAGTGCGACCCATGTAGTCAAAAGGAGGAGGATCAGAAAACTTAACATCGCCGCTCTCCACCAGTTTGAGACATCTTGAAATGCAAAGCAAAGGATGAACTCCGGAGATCCGAAGTGTAGACACTGAGCAGCCAAGATTGACCATAGCTGATGTATGGTGAACTGTCCACTGTACGAGATGAGGCAACAAAGGTTCTGAAATTGAAAAAGACGGAAAAATTACTAGTAGGGACATAGTCGAAAGGATGAGAAAATCGAGCGAATCAATGGGTCAGGAATCAACAGGACGCCTTAGTGAATCTAAAATAAAGAGCACGAACAGTACTCTAGTAATCCCGGTCACGACGACTGGACCTTGACGCAGTGCGATGGTTGGTGTGCCTCGGCGGCCCATTAGACCATGCTGGGTGCTGTTTTCACACCTTCAGAATCACTCATACCAGATTGGTCAATGGTTAGAGGTCTGACAAACTCAGTCTTCTGGCCCTCCAGGTTAGGGGTTGGAGTGAAGGTGTCTACTTACTCCAGAAAACGGACTCTGCAACCCAGTGCCAAAACCCCGCTTTCTTGCGGTCAGTTTTTGAACCAAAGAGTTTGGTTGAGAATCCTAATCGTTCCCTTGTCTCGCCTAGGTAACCTTACAGAATCTTGCCATTGCTATAAATTCAGGCAACTTTTGATGTTTTGGCCGCCACTAGAAATTCTGGATGCTCGTCGACGTGTTCCGAGTGGGAGCGAATACCGTGAGACTCGCTGTTTTTAGGGCGAAACTGGGTGCTAGCCTGAAGAGAGAGCACCAAGCGTGGTGGTCTCATCGTGTTTCGGTAACTTGGTAACTATCAGAAGTTATTCCGTCTGATACGAGAAACGGGAAGCAGAAAACCTGGTGTTACCGAGACCATATGAAATGAGAGTGAACAGTCGATCCCCAGCTTGTTAAAGAGTATGAAGCTTTGGGCCGAACGTCAAGAAAAGCAATCTAATCAGTCCGAATTGCAGCTCCGCCATTGGGCAATGAGTGGTCTACTCTCTGGGTAGCCCCTTGGATTCGCTCACATGCGCAGAAATAGAAAGCAAGATCAGACGGCTGAAATTGAACAAGGTCACTGGAGCAGATGGACTTTCACCAGCTCACTTTTTGGACGAAACTGTCCCAACAGACTAGAGCCGCTCAGCTATAGTCACAATTTTCATGAGAGGCTCCCGTTCAGAATGCGACAACCATAGAGGAAGCAGTCTGTACTCAAATGTTTCCAAGTTACTTGCCTCTGTAGTACTTCATGGATTGACTATCAAACGTGAAAGCCAGATGCGCAAGGATCAGGCCGGTTTCATCGAAATCGAGGCTGCATTGACCACATCTTGAGTTTACGCCAGATGTTGGAGCACCGCTGCTTATTGTCGACCCACCGTAGTTGCGTTCCTAGAAATCAAGGGGGCCTTTGTTTCTCTTGAGCGATGTGCGCTTTGAGACTGTCTACTGAGAAATAGTGTACCGGAGAACGCTGCACGCGCATGATTCGGGCAGTGTGAGCGTATACAGTAAACTTTCGCCGTCCTTCAATACCTCCAGCGGTGCGAAACAATGTTGCTTTCTATCACCTTCCCTTTTTCACTCAGCTTAAAGAGGCATGTTAAGCTCGACCATAGCTGCCTTCGCAGCCTAGCTCATGTCTGGTTGAAAGATTGAGTGAGCAAAGAGTGTGTTCAGCGCCGCGTATTTGGTGAAGGAAGAGCGAGTGCACCGGTCAGCCTCATTATATAACGCACCAGGCTCCGAGGGTTAGGCCTCATGTTGCGCATTTCAGCACACCGACACCCGCATCGTGCGTTGTCTGCGCGCCTGAGGTCTGGATGGAAGGAGAGGGGACCAAGCGATGAGTTGAACGTCAGTAGGTGCTTCCAGACTGCTAGACTGGGATCTGAAAAACTGAGCATGCTTGATTGGATACACTTGTTGACATGCAAAGATCCGGCCTCATTGGCGCTTGTATTGCGAGTTTCTTTGTCGTTCCGCTACAACTAAGATCTCACACCCGATGCGTAATGTGATACTTAGCATCATAGTACGTATTTGGCTTTTATATAGTATTCTGTAATGTTTGCATCTCTTGCTTTTAATGTAACTTATCTTTTGGTATTGCGGAACAGTAGCTAACGCGTTTTCACCTTCAGCTAATGTGAAATGAGGATGATGGTTAATGCTAAAGGATCCCACAATAATAGCCCTCATGGTGATGGCTGCGTGAAATAAGAAATATCAAGTGCAAAAATGACGAAAGTGCGCTATCTGGAACAATAATACTAATTATGAGGGAGTTTATAAGGGTTAGAAAAATGAAGCATTAATACACGGGTTGTACGAAGGAAGGGAAAGTTTAAGTACCACAACATAAAAACATCTAGCTAGAGCTCAAAACCCTTAGCAAAAGACAGGCTGATCAATACCGAATTGTGGAGACAATTGGCTGGCTCGGGATCATATCGTTCCAGCGAATGGAGCAGTAGTGTTCAAGGTCACGGTAAACCTCTGCCTGACAAGCGCTCACCTTATTAAAAGCCGGCGCCTGTTTAACAACAGCGACTTGACGGATGTCACCCGCTGCTATTCAAAGTTGCTGGTCCTTGCCGCACTCATGTGAATTTGTGGAAAAGATTGGAGCCTCGTTATGAAAACCAACAAAAAGCAGTCTCAGCGCGTGTTGTGGATACCTTGTGGTCCTACAAAAAGTTTGCACTGGATGTGATTCCTAAACATTCACTACTATAACAAGGTTACAGTTGGACGTTTATGTAATGCACTATCAGTGACAACGCTATCAGAAGGTAGTTGTATTCATTCGCCTTCACACACTGCTACCAAAATGCCGAGTGCGCAATCTCCTAATTGATACCCCTAGCAAGTAGTATGTACGTCACACTGATAATCACCTTTGGTTGCCATTATTAGGTGGCAATCATGTCACCTTCCAATAACCAGGCCAACTGTGCTATAAATACCAAGTGCGTGACCTTTAGTGAAACCTGTATAAGCGCACCCACCGAAGGTCGCTGTCCGATTTTTCTCGGAGTTACAAGTAGCCGTGTGGAGCCTGTGGTCCCTGAGATACAGTGACCTAGAAATTGTTGGCGACTAAGTCTCACAGGGTATGTCGATACGAATCCGATCAGTAAGAAAGCGAAAGCGTTGTAATAGAAGCGACGGCGGCTATAACAGCGCGATTCGCTGGACTCACTCCCGACCTGAAGGCTCAGACAGAATGGTGCACCCTAAGTCAATTTCCCACTTTGGCCAGGATAAGCGAGTGATGTCAAGTCCCATTAAGAAACTCTGGACTTAACTACAGTCATATTGCACTCTACTGCCGCTTGCGATAGTCAGTTGGTATTTCTCGTTGTCCGTCACCTGCTGATTCATAGCTCCATGGGTACATTTGTATGTATGTATGTAATCTCAACAGTCTAGTAACTAGACATAGAGCCAAGAAAGCCATGGAAATCAGTGGATAAGAGACAGTCATTGCGTCATAATCGTTGTGGCATGCTAGCTGAAGGTGGGCAACACACTTCAGCTAATATACCGCAAGAAAATGGAATATTTTGACAAAAATACAGAACAAAACATTTTTAGTTTGTTTGTCACACGCCGATTTTTCTCTGTTTTGTCATTTTCAATGTTTGTAGAATTAAACATGTGAATCAACACAACACTGTACACAATTCTTCCACTGATTCCGGTTGCGGGCCATGTCTTCAAGAGTCCTAAGCCATTGGCACTCCCCATCTTTGGGTCCTCATCCTGGAAGACGTACGGGTCCAACAGCGGCTAGACAAGACGTAAGCGATTTCATGTGCTGCCGCCAAGTGGAAGGCTGACCACCACGCGATCGCTTCCAGCCAGGTCCATGACGAGCGAGTAGAGCGCGACGCGGTAGACGCTCAGGTGCCATGCGTAGGACATGACCGAGCCATCTTAACTGTCGCAACAAAACCAGTTTTTTGAAGGAAATACTTGCATTCCCCAAGACGCGACGTCTTGGGGTAGTGTAAAAGCTACTGACAGAATCCGCTTACATTGACTTCTGCGCTGCAGTCGGTCGGGAGGTAAAATGAGGAAATAAAAAGGTCATGGCCACTACATTGTTCCCACTAATTTTGATAAACGGATCAGACGAACCACAATGTGCACTATTCGGCAGGATACAGTGAAATGATTACAACTTTTTGACTGAATTTAGTATCACAAATTGAGCAACCGAGCCAAAGAGTCGCAGGTAGTCACTAGCCCGGGAACCAGAAACAGGTTATAGACTATCTGCTGTAATGTTGCCAACCTGCGTGTCTGTATCAGAAGGATAGTGCAGTTTTACTTTAACGAAGCAAAGAGTAACCGCCAGAGTCAATTTCTGAATGCCCAGACGTTGCAATACACTAGGGTAAAGAACCAAAAAAAAATAGAAAAACATCAGTATTTTGCGCATATGTTTTAGTACCACAACTAATACGGAACCGCTAATGAAGAGTAATAAAAATGGAGCAGAAGAGAGACATGACGCGAAAGTCTTATACCATAACTAAATATTTAGGATTATAGTGTCAACGTCCTTTCAACAGACCACGATCATAACAGCTAGAAAAAAGAGGGCATCAGCAGTACGCAGTGTCGACGTTCCGCTGAACGCGCATCCAATATGTCGCACGTGGGCCAAAAATATAAGGAGGTTCATAGGCAGACTCAAACCCGCGATTGACGATTACTAAGAAAGCTTGTGATACTCAAGACTAACGGTCGACAGAAAATGTGCGAGAAAAAGATGAAATGCGTGGGGGATTTCCCGTAGCTATAACTGCCCTCGTCAAGCTCAAACTCATCGCATATACAACCCAACCCGGTGAACATGTTAAACAGGAAATCCGGTTAAAAGAAGACAGCTAACGCGCTACCAGTAAACAGAGCGAGCAATGCTCCGTAAAGACTAGAATTGAGAACATGGTGGGCAACATGGACTCCAACCCGGAAGGTAGGACGGACCAGCAGTTCCTAGTTTGCTCGTCGTATATATATATATATATATATATATATATATATATATATATATATATATATATATATCCGCAGTGTGCGACGGATTTTGCGCATCGGCT